CCCGACGGTGGCGGCGGCAGCGGCGGGGCCGCGACGGGCGGCGGGGTGGACGCGGCGGCGGTGCAGGCGTTGTTGAGAGAGGCCCTAGACGACGGCGGCGCCGCGCCGCAGTGACAGCGGCGGAGGGGGTGCCCTTTTGTACATATATTTTTACTCGTGCTGGACAGCACTTGTGACCCACCAAGTACCATCAATTCACCATTTCTCACACGTGACAACTTGTAAAACACACATTTCTGAAGCAAAAGCACTGGCAGGAATGGGTGCAAAAACTAATGATGTCACTGCCGTTTGGCAAGCAGCTGCTGATCCTCTCGCCCATCGCCGCGGCGCCCCCGCGCCCCTGCCGGCGGCGCCCCATCCGCCATCCCCAGGCTGACGCCCAGGAAGCTTCTTGGCGGGTCCCAGCAGCGCAGCAGCACCACCACCAGGGCCGCGTTCGCCGCCATGAACGCCAGGCTCGCCCCCCACAGCGCCAGGTGCACCGGCCGCCCCTCAAACTCTAGTAGGTAGCCCCACAGCAGCCAGTGCAGCTGCGCCGCGGCCCAGGCCACGAGCGCGCCGCAGAGCGCGCGGGGCGGCGGCCACGGCAGGCCGGGCAGCGCGGCGGGCAGCAGGCAGAGCCACCAGACAAAGTACTGGGCGGTGCTGACCTTGTTGAAAGCCACAAAGGCGACCGTCTGCAGCAGCCAGCAGAACGGGAGGTCCCGGAAAAGCGCGAGCGCGAGCGCCAGCAGCGCCGCCGCCTGCGGCAGCGGCGCGAGCCGCGCGGGGTCGAGCGCGCCCGCCAGCGCCGCCAGCCCCGCGCCGCCGCCGCCGCCGGCGCAGAGCGGCGCGCTGCTCTGGGCTACCCCCTGCTCGGCCGCCGCGGCGGCGCCGGTGGGCCAAGTCGGCATGAAGTCCAGGTACACGCCGTACCAGTGCACAGAGAAGCAGTGCCGCGGGTCCCTGCGGGTCAAATGGTGCAGGAATGCCTCCTGCAGGAAGGGCGCGCCATACAGCCAATAGAACAGGTCGCCGAGCGCGAGGAAGAGGCCGCCCGATGCAGCACCGAAAAGCGCCCCCTGGCGCAGCGCCGAGGGCGCGAGGGCGAGGAGGGAGGGCTGCCCGACGGCCTGAGAGCAGGGTAGAGTGGGACGGGGAAGGGAGCAGGAGGGGAGCCGGGTCAGCCGAAGTCGATGGAAGCGGGGCGACCATGGTGCACTCCTGGCGCGAACAAATGCGCCCCCCATGCCCATGGACACCCCAGCGCGCACCTCCGTTTCCTGCCCGCCGTCGCTGCGGGCCGCGCTGCTGTCCAAAAGCTTTCCCCTTGACCGCCGCTGGAGCTCAAACCTTCGCGCCGCCAGGAATAGGACAATCGCCGGCGCGTAGATTATCGGGTAAATGCGTATGTGCACCGCCAGGCCGTACATGAGGGCCGGCGCGAGCACCCCGCCGCGCAGCAGGCCCAGCAGCGCGCCCAGCAGCAGGTTTACCACCAGCGCGTCGCAGCTGCCCCGCGTCGAGATGGCGAAGGTGAAGGGGTTGCACAGCCACAGCGCGGCCGCCCAGAGGGACGCCGCGGGCGACGCGCCCTGCAGGGACGCCAGCCGCCAGAGCTGCCAGCCGGCGAGGACGTCGGCGGCGGAGAAGAGGACCTGAGGGGTGGCGGGGGCGGGGGCAATGGCGAGCAGTTGCCGCGTTGCTGAGCGCATAATCTGGGCGGTGTGTGTGTGTGTGTATGTGTGTGTGTGTGTGTGTGTGCACAAACACTCACACACACACACACACACACACACACATGCACATACACATGCACACACATACATACTCTCTCTCACACACACACAACACACACACATACACACACAAAATATGTCTCAGTAAGGTTTGCGGTCACTTGCGGGACCGAGCAGAATTCTTGGGGGCAGCAACGTCATGGTCGGCTGCGTCGGATCCTCTCAACGCCACGGCATACATTTGACGACGGTGCGAGTGCCCACCTTCCCCCACAGCGGCGTAAGCAGCGCGTTTGGGAGCACCGCGTACGCGAGCAACGGGCTGTAGCGGTAGGTGCTGCGCAGGAAAGGCGACTCGCCGCCGGCCACGAGGCGCGCCGCATCAGTAAAGACTTTGTAATCGACGTCGGTGTATGGCACGCGCAGCAGCGCGTCCTGAACGACGCCCCAGAGGATCAGCAGTGCGCGGAGCAGCGCGCTGCCGGAGAGCAGCACGGCGAGCGTGACACGCATTGTCGGCTTGACAGGTGGGCGACGCTTCGGCGATGTTCATGCGAAGCTGCGCTGGAATTGCGGATCGGCCTTAGGTCAGATAGGCAGATCTTTTTGATGCACAATCGTTGCAGTCCCTGCTACAAAAGGGCCGACTCGCGCAAATTGAGTTTTCAGATCACTTGACGCGAAACTCGATTTGATATCGTCTCAGCGTATGCATCAATGCTCATTGATGTGACTTAACTCTGTTCACGGCGTGCAGTAGATACAGTGTCACTTGATTGCACCCCGCAAGTTCCAACCCAGCCCAAACACCGAACTGCAGCCAGATTAGGCCTTCAGACTCCTTCCAGAGCATCAGACGATCCGTGCGTTCACCGCAGCCTGCCCGCAGCATGGCGCGCGCTGCGCTCGGCCGCGCGCTGGTGGCGTCCGGCGGCACCGTGCTCGCCATCGGCGGCGCGACCATGCTCGTCAGCACCGTCAGCATGGGCGTCGCCAGGGCGGTGGTCATGGAGAAAAAGGTGCGTCCAGGCCAATCAGGCCCGTGAAAGGGCAGCCCTCAGGCAGGGGGCTGCTTCATTGGGAGCGAGGCGGCGGAGAGCTTTGTGTGACTTTGGGTGCTCCCCGTGACTGCAGCGCAGTCACGCAGCCGCCGCTGCCAAGCAGTCGCCTGCTGACGCCGTTGCCATCGGGCCCCCTCCACTGAGCAGAAAAAGCTGGCGGTCAGCTGCGAGGTTTGCAAGGGCCGCGCCAAGCTGTTGTGCGACGTGTGTGCAGGTGAGAGAGAGCTTTTCCTTTGTATAAATGCACGGGGCAGCCGCGCCTGGCCGTGGCCGCCTTGTTGCCGCGTTGTTGCAGCCTGTGTGCCGGCGCCGTGCGCTGCGGTGTGCCGACAAATACGGCCTTGCTGCTGATTAGGCAAACGCCTTGCGCTTTCAATGCCAGGTCGGTCCACGTTGTGCTGCTGCCCCAGTCTCCCAGCCAGCCTAACCCTGCCCCTCGCTGAGCCCTCCGCCCTCCTCCCCAACCCTTTTCAAGGCGAATGCGCCGTCAAGTACCACCCGTTCCAGACGCTGGCACTGAACGCACGCACCCCCTACTGCGTGTGCGCAATGTGCGGCGGCACCGGCGACCAGACGTGCCTAAATTGCCTCGGAGAAGGCGTCACCTACCCGTCTTGATTTGTTGTATCTTCCTGGGTTCATTTTTCATTGCGTTGGAGCTGGACCCTGCTCGCTTCTGCGTTTTTTGTTGCGAGCGTCGCAGTCCTGCAGCCTGACCAGCTGTGCTCTGCTGGAGGTGGGGTGCGTGCGCCGCTCTTTCTGATCGCCTGCGCCGTCATGCAGCAACCCCCAATATGACATGGGTATGGTTGCTCCTTGCGCTGGCTAGGCCCTTTCCTTGCGCTGAAACACGCGCTGGCGTGGGCGTGTGCATGTAGCAAGCTTGAAAGGCATGGAATCGCCCAGGGCAACGCAAGGCGCGCGTAGGGTTAACATGGCATGGGACTACGTGTTGAAAGGGCTGCATGCATGCAGTCATGTTCCGATGTCCCTGCCTCAGGCCTTGTTCTGACGAAGCGGCATTCTGTTCATCCCTGACCCCGCCCCTCATGCGCGCGAGGGCATAAAGGGATGGAGAAGCAGGTCAGTTTGCCCCACGTGGGTGGACGTTGAAGAGCAGGCAAGAGTAAACAACAGTGATCCCACGGCAAGCAGTCGCTTTAGACAGTCGTCACTGCAATGGTACAGTAGGGGCTGTTTCAACACCTGCTTCTCAAGTTCTCGTGTGGTGTGCTGCAAGCTAGGCCAGGGCAAACTCGGACCGTGTACAGGCTTCCCCCGCTACAGTGAGCCCATCGGGGGTCGGCGGCATGTTCGCTATGGCCGGCTCGTTCGCTATCGCAAAAAGCAAAATTGGGCACCTGCTGGCATCGGGGGTAGCTGCGGCGTTCACTGTAGGCAGGATTTTTGCTATGGCAGGGTTGGCTGTAGTGGGGGAAGACTGTACCAGAACTCGGTCGGGGTTCAAAGGGTTGAGAAACAGCAGGTGATCACGTGTGTTTCAGGGGTGTCAGTCAACTTCGTACAGAGAGCAAAAAGTCGACTCAGGATCAAATGGAGGGGACGAAAACACACCAACTGGCCCTGTGGTCAACAAACCGCCCCGCCCTTGCTTGCGGTACATCCCCCTCATCGCGATAGACCTGGCAAGCAGCGCTGACGCTGGCCTTTTCGCTGGGACAGCATCAACAGCCAATCAGGCGGGACTGCGCCAGTCGAGCAAAGTCCCGAGGTCTGCCGAACCCCGTCCGCCTGCTTTGCCTCCATACTGCTGCCTTTGGTGGATCATCAAGTTGACATATACTGTTTTTAAATGCTGAGAACTCAGCAGCTCCAGCAGCATAGTTCTGAGGTGTCGGCGATGGCACCAGCAGCTGGCTTGGTTGGGCCGCTGCCTCCCCCCCCTTCCAAGCATGGGGAGAGGGGGCGGGGCACCTCCAAGGGTTTGTTTCATCAGCTGCTGGGAAGGCGCGGCAGGGCGCCTGCAGCCGGAAAATTGCACTGCCCATCTAGTGACTTGAGGCCGCTCCCCGCGGCCAAGCTGCCTGCCGCCGCAGTCACTGGCGTCTTTGGTGGTGTGGTGCAGGCGGATCGGTCTGCCAGGTCCTTACAGTGCGTGTGTGTGAGTGTGTGTGTGACCATCAACCATCATGTGCGTTTTTCAAGCCAAATGTCGCGCGGAAACACGCGCTGATGAGAGGCCTAGGGATCAAGCCTGCGCAACAAAACAGAGATCAGGCCGGGGCGGAATGGGGGGGACGCTGGCGCTGCTGCGAGGACCGAGCGCGCACGACGCGGCACAGCCTCGCCATAAGTCCAGCTTCCGTGTGCAGGGCCGGGCGCGCCCCGCCGCAACGTTCTTGGGGCGGGGGGTCCGTTTACTTCTTAGCCTTCTTGACCTGGTGAGGCACATAGCCGGGGCGGGAGGGGCGGAGCGGTCAGCATGTTTGACCACCTGCACAGCCCGGCGCGCCGCCGGGTCGCTGTGCACACCCGGGGGAATGCGTGTGGGGCAGGCTGGCCGCAAGCCCGCCCGTGCGTGCAAATAAAACCTGCAAGGCTACCACAGCGCCCAGCAAGTCTTTCCGTGGGCTCGTGGGCGCCGCACCTTGGTGGTGCCCTTCCTGGCCTTGATCAAGCCGCCCTCGGCCTTGATCGCGGTCTCGTAGCCGGCGCCGAGATCGCCGGAGTCCTGCGGGCGGGGGTAGGATTAAGTCCGACCATTTGAGTAATTCAGGGTCCGATCACTTAAGCAATGCAGTACAGGCAAACAATTTGTTGCTTGTTCGCAAATCCACCCAAACGAGAGAGCCGATGCGGGAGGGTGTGGTGCGCCGAGGATGGCCCGAGGCAGATGGCAGAGGCCGCGGGGCCGGAGCGAGCGCGGTTGCTCTGAAAAGGGTGCCGTCAAGACCGCACGGTGCACTTGTGCGCACGGGGGCGGGTGCCGCCAGGGGGAGGGGCGCGGAGGCGCCGGGAGCCGGCCCGCACCTTGACGGCGGCAGTGCGCATGAACTCGCTGAACCCGGCGTCGAGCGAGGACAGGGCAAAGGCGCCGCCGCCCACGACCACCAGAGCGGCTGCGGAGCGGCGACAGGGAGGCAAGGGGGCGCCCGCGGTCTGCCGCAGGGGCGAGCTGGCCGCGAAAATCTGCGACCGCGGCCATGCAGCCGCGCAGCAGCTGCAAGCAGACTGCACTGTGCGTGCACTGCAGCAACTTTAAGTGCCCGGGAGCAGCTGTCCTGCCTGCAGGGGCCGAGGGGGGTGGCTCACCGGGCAGGGCCACCGACTGGGGAGAGATGCCGCCCGAGCTCGACTCAACCACCTCCTGCTTCTTCGGCTTGGGCGCCGCCGGGGCCGCCGGGGTGCCCGCGGCCGCCTTGGCCGCCTTGGGCGCCGCGGGGGCGCTGGCCTCCGCCTGGAAGACCTGCAGGCGCCGGCAGGGGCGGCGGGTGTCGCGCGATGGGTGAGACACGAGTAATCAGGGCGCAGGTCAAACGCCGGTAGGCGGCGGCGAAGCATCCTTTCGGCCCGAAAACCTTACTCGACATTGCAACCCCACGAGTGCGCTTCCGCTCGTTTTCCTAGCGCGCCCCTGACTGCTGTTGCGGCATTGCGGAAGGCCGCACAGCCAACACTATGCAAATGCTGACCTTCTTCAGCGTCGGCTGCTCCAGAATGACACCCGCGAAAGCGGGGGACGCTGTCACCATAACAGCAACGGCGGTGGCCGCGACCTTGGCAGCCACCACCTGGGCGCCTGTGCAAAGGAAGCAAGCGCGGAAATTATTATTCAGCGCTGTAATGCGCGTGTTTCTGCCGCCGGAGGGCCCATGGTCGCAGGGGCACGGTCCAAAGCAAGGGTCGTGCTCCAGCAGACGCGGCCGATGCAAATGGTGTCCATTGTGCCCGCCGGTCAGGATAAAGGCCCATCTGCTAGGATTTTGCGCATCATTGTGCACAGGCGGTCCCCTCGCGCACCCTGCTTGGCAGGGGCCCGCACTGCAGTCTTCTGAGCCAGCATTTTGACAAGCCTAGTTGGTGACTTCGATGCAGGAAGGTGATTACTATGTGTGTTTCAATGCATTTGCATTAGGCGATCTTCGTTTCGGGTGACCGACACCTTGTTACTAAGCTGATCTCTTAGGCGTCAAGTAGATGTTTTTCGCGGCCTTCAGGTGACCAATTACGACATAATGTATTACGATCAAGGCTAAATCACGTCTGGACGTGCGGTCAGTGTGCATTGAGTGGTGGTCAACACCTGGCAGGGCTGTTTGTCGACAAGAGACTCTCAGTCTGCAATGTGCGGCCTGGCAGCCCTCCAATCTTACGTATGTTTCATGTAGGCTAGAACTCTGCTGTTGAGTTGCCTTGCGCCATGGCCCCCGCGGTGCCATCACATGGCTTGTTGGAGTCAGGGTCAAAGTTTTGTGGCTGGGATGATCGAATCGTGTGTGCGCTGCCAATGCCCTGACGCTTTGTAAGCAGGTAAGCCATGCTATACCAATTGGAAACCAGCTTCTTGAATGGCTTGTGTTTTCGAAGGCACTGTCTGGCATGAGGGTGCGTACGGTCTCCCCTCCGCCTGCAGGCTGTTTGCATCACCGGGGCCCCCATTGCGCGTGTTGTGCATGGACCGCAAGTGGACCCCTGCGCTGACTTCGTGGATCGGTCCCCTAAATCAGTGCAAGGGGCTGCACCATCGCGCGCTGTGCTGAGCGCCTTGGCGTCAGGGCAGCACACACTCGAGCAGCACAAACGGAGCAACAAACGGAGCGCACAGACCTGGCACAGACGGCATGCACGAGCGATGCCAGAGGTGGTGCCCTGTTTCCACCACAATGTGATGCATGCTTTCCTTACGAATATACAACTGAGTGCTCCTTGATATGACAACTCAGGCGCTTTCGCGCTGATCTCACGGTGGATTTGCGTGTTTTGCTCGCTGTCAGGAGCCATTTTCGTTTTTTCACGTACAATATGCAGGTTTTGGCTGAAGCAGCAGCACAGGAAAGCCCTGAGGTAGCAATGTTAGCCACGGGGCGGCCGCAGCAGCAGGTACACGAGCGCGCGTACACAGAGCGGCAGCAGCAGCCTGGCGATGAAGGCACCAACACTGTCAGCACGAGCAACATCGGCAGCAGCCCAAAGTGCTTCGTGATTGTGTACAATGTAGCAAAGAAGCACAACATTGGGACACTCCTGCGCAGCTGCACAGCCTTTGGCGTCGCACAGGTGCGGTGCAAAGGCCATGCTTGCCTGTGCAAGCAGTGATTTCCAGCTTAAGCATACAGCCGCCATGCTTTCGATACTCACTATAGAATGAGGTTCGAGCGACAGAAGTCACCATTATGGCTGCGACATTGGGGACTTGCTTCTGCTGCCGCTGCTGCTGCTGCTGCTGCTGCTGCTGCCGCTGCTGCTGCTGCTGCTGCTGCTGCTGCTGCTGCTGCTGCTGCTGCTGCCGCTACCGCTGCACCACGCGCTGCTCGACCCTCTGCCCACCGAAACAGGTCTGTATTGTCGGCTCCCGCCAGTTCAACACTTTTGGGTCCCACGGGTCCTCAGATTTTGTCGAGTTGCGCCACTTCACAACCATCGAGTCCTGCTGCCAGTGGCTGCGAGACGAGCACCGTGAGTTGGCGGCGATCCTGGGGGCGCCTCCATGGCGGCTGGTGGCAGTTGGCGACACCGGTACTGTGCGCTTGACCGGCTCCCGTGGCCGCCTCCGCCAACTATTAAATGTTTTTCTGCCAAACCGATTGGTTGGCCAGGCTGCCGCGTCGTGGGAGTTGAGATAGACGAATCGGCAGTGCCTGTTCAGTCCCACCCCTTCAACGGCAACACCGCCTTCATGCTTGGGAACGAGGCAAGTGCGTGCAGGCTGTCGTGTGTGCTTCCGCTCGTGTACTTGCGCACACGTATACACATGCAAGGCACACGTATTTGTTTGGGAAACGGGTCGCGCTTGGTGCAAAACAAGCCCCAGCAGGACGCGGCTGGCTGCAAAATAGGGGTCGTACTGGCCGTCCTTCGTTCGCACCTTTGAACAGGGCCAGGGCCTGAGCGAGAAGCAGATGCGGCTCTGCGACGCCTTCGTCTACATACCGCAGTACGGCGCGGGCACCGCGTCCCTCAACGTGACGGTGGCGGCCTCCATCATATTGCACCACTTCGCGCTGTGGGCGGGCTACGCAGAGCGCGGCCGGGAGGGCGCCAAGTACGTCGTGGCGGAGCGGCCGCAGCGCACGTCGGCGCGAGGTACGGGCTGAGCTCGCTGTGTATGGCGGCAGGCGCGCTGCCTATGGGAAGGGCAGCCGGGGCAGCAACAGCTCGGCGCTGCCGTTGCCGCTCGCGGCCCTGTATTGATCCGTGATGCGCAAATCCAGCGCTGCTCGGCCGCACCAGACCCTGCCTGGATGCTGCCGGTGCTGAGCCAGCAGCGCTGCCAACAGCACATCCCTGTCCCCTCCTCTTGCAAAGGTGTCGTGCCCTTGACCGCAGAGGAGCGTGCCGCGCTGCAAAAAGCGCGGGCGTCGGCGCTCGAGGACGGTCGCGAGTGGATGGAGGACGCCATGGGCTGCGGTGGCGGCCTGGACGGCGTGTTGGAGGCGCTGGCGGCAGAAGGGGTGGATGGGGGTGTTGTGGGGCCTATGATTCAAGGTGGTGGTTGAACGGTTGATGCGGCATTGGGGGTTGGTTGCTGCAGCCTCGCCCTCCAAGACAAGCTGGCCTGTAATCAGTGCTGTGCTGCAGACCGAGCTCCACTATACACGGCGCGATGGTAAAGCGAGAGGTGCTCCTGCTCATCTTAAGACTGCACATTCAGCACAGTGCGGTTGTTTCGGCGAGGCTCCGTGGGGCAAATGGGTGCAAGGTGCCTGTGACGGCACGATGACACAGCCAGCATTCGACAACATCAAACGCAATACAATCGAGCGGGTCAATTGCACCTCATTTCCACTAAATTTCAAACGCTGAGGGCGTTCATGCAGTCGGATGTGTGCGTGGAAGCTGTCGTGAAGCCAGCATAGATCAAGTGAGAAAGCCCATTACTCAATGTAGCGCTCCACTATCACACAAATCTCCCTTCGAATATGTTTGGCGAGATCCACCTCGGGATCAGACGTTGGTTGAAGCTCAACGTGACCTGAGCAGCCGCTGCCTCGCGCAAGAAAAGGCCCGTTTGGCTTTACTAGCTTCTCGAGAAGTTACCATCATTCTTGCTCGCCCAGCAACCGCGGCAGCTCTGCAGCTTGCGCGCTGCGTGCGCGCATTGACGACTGCAACGCCAGCAGAGGGCAAGCACCCGCCAGCAATGAAGCTTACTGAGGAGCAGCTCTTGCTTCACGATGGATCCGACCCGGCCATGCCCCTGTATATCAGCGTGAGGGGCAAGATATATGACATGACGGCGGGGCGCTCATTCTACGGACCCGGCGGCCCGTACAGCATCTTTGCGGGCAAGGTGCGAGTTTGATACAGGTGCTATGGGCGGATGTGCGGGACGGCTGAGGCGGCGGAGTTGCGGGTTGGAAGCATAGGCAATAGGGTAGCTGCACCCGGTGCCATCCAGCCGTGGTGTGCAGATTGACGGAGGACGCCCGAGTAGAAGAGCACTTGCCCCTGGTGACGTCATCGTCATGGAAGCACGGGGCCCCTGGCACCTGCGCACTCTTTCCCTCCAAATCACTTGCTCGGCAGGAGTGCGCACGCGCCCTCGCATTCATGAAGGTGCGAGCGTGCGGCGCGCCGAGCAACTGGTGGCGGAGGCCCAGGTTGCGGGCAGCCCGCAGCGGCGAGCTGGCGAGTGGCGGACCGATCGAGCCACGCGACAGCGACCCACAGCTTTTTTAGAGGAGACCTTGTTTCAAATGCCACCCTCGCCGCGCCTCGTCGCAGGTGCAGCCCGACTATTGCAATGGCGACCTGACGGGGGCGACCGAGCAGCAGCTGAAGACACTGGCAGAGTGGGTACCCGGGAGGGGTGCTGGGCAGCGGTGTGCTCGAGCATGCATTCGTGAGCCTCTGTGCGTGTGTGTGTGTGTGTGTGTTGGCACGTGCGTGTTGACACGTGCGTGTATCCATGTGTGTGTGTGTGTGTGTGTGTGTGTGTGTGTGTGTGTGTAGGGTGTGTATGTGCGCGCACGCATGTGCAGGTGCACGTGCACGTGCACGTGCATGCATGTATGCTGGCCTGGCGCAGATGGTGATTGGAACAGCACATGGCGCAGCATTTCTCTCAAAACGTGCCCACATTGGCATGAAAGGCAGCCAGAGCATGTTTGCCCATCTCCGCCTCAGCCTCCCCATCCCCACGGTGTGTGCCCTGCCGCTCTTCAAAATCTTTCTGCAGCTGGGAGAAGAAGTTTGCCGACAAGTACCCAATTGTTGGCGAGCTCTCCGCCTGAAAGGCCACCTCGGACCCAAAATGTTTGTTGCCAACACTCTCTGAGCGGCTGATTAAGGAGGCTACCCGTACGTCCTGTCTGCCCACATCCCCTATGCCGAAAGAGCGGTCGGCTGCATGAGGGCTGTGCAAAGGTGCATCTGCATAGAGCACGGATGTGAAGGCTGGATGGTGTCATTACGTTGTGTAACAATGGATATCAGTCCTGTACAGGCCGAACAAGCACCGGGTCGATGATGTGTGCTGGTGTCAGTAATAGTTATCACAACACCGCGTACATCACACACCGCCTCATACCAGAAGCGCGATTGCGCAATTGGGTCAGCTTGAATTATATGCACCCAGCCCGTGGTGTACATGCCGGCAGGCGCAGCGTCTTACCCCATGGGCGCCGTGGCCGGCAACGCAGCAGCTGCTGCGGCACTTGTGCAGTAGATGTCTCCCTTAATTCAACAGCTCTTGCGCTCCGCTCAGGCATTTCAGCGCTGCGTCACGTCCCCTGTTCGCGTCATTCACGCAGTGGCGAACGCAGACGCCCTCTTCGCGGGTGATCTGTGTTGTCGAGTTCCAGCGCGCTGCTGGTGCTCACATTAAAGTTTCGTGTGTGTTACTCAAGAATATAATAGTCTAATTTCAGGGGCAACAGGAGGCAGAGTGTGGAGCGGGACGATAGCCATGGCCTTGTGGCCTTGAGGAGCACAAGTGGACGCCAAAATGGCTTTCAACGAGCCCGCGTTGCAGCATGCGGTCCGCAAGCTTACGGACCCGGCGGCATGTGAGTTCCTGCGGCACACTGCAACACATGGAGTGTAGATCGCTGTATAGCAGCCAAAAGCACTGCAGAAGCCCTCTGAGTGTCTAACCATTGATGTTAAAACGCTCTCCCGCCGCCGCACGCGCTTACGCAGCGCTGCTGGAGCGCCGCAAAGCGCTCGATCACATCAAGGACAACATCGAAATGTTGCACACGGCGCAGTACCCCGGCTTCCTCGCGCTCATATTCGAACCGGTGTGCGCCCAGCTGACGGCTACTCAGCCCCAGTTTGAGCGCGACAGCGAGCTGCAGGTGCTGCGCCACGCGGCGCTCGAGGTGCTCAGCCGGCTGCCGGCCAACGACGCGCTCAAGCAGTATGCCACGCGCATGTGCGACGTCTGCCTCGCGGTGAGAGCTCCCCCATACCTTCTCGGGCTGCATGTATAAATGGGATTTGCCAGCTGGCACCGCGGGGCAGCGGTTTCAACGACTGGCGTGTTGATGCAACCCAAGCAACGCCGCGCCGCCCGAGCCGCGCGCGCGACGCGCCGCCGTGGCGCTCACGCCGCGGCCGCCGCCGCCGCCGCGCCCTCGCCCCCTAGATCGTGCGGTCCGACAATCAGAAGAACGCGGTGCTGGGCGTCAAGGTGTTCCTGGACCTCCACAAGTCATTCAGGGCGTCGTTCGAGGCCCAGTACATGGCATTCGTCGATTTCGTGGGGCAGGTGCGGCGCCCGGTTTGGGGCGTGCACGCGCGGAAGGCGCGGCCGGCTGGAGTGTTGGCGGCCGGCGCGGCGGCGGGCGTGCAGGGATCAGCGCGGGGGTCGTCAGGGTTCGGTGCTGGGACCTGAGCAGCGCGCGGCGCGAAGTTTGCAGGGGAGGCCAGGGGCAGCGGCGGGGACAACCGGCGGCGTCGAGGCGCAGCCGCTGCTCCTCCTTGTGGCTGGTGGCGGCGGGCTAGAGCAAGATGAGGCGGGGGTCGGCTGCATAGGCAGCACGGCACTGCTTCGCGCGACGCAGCAGTCGACGAGGCCAACAGATTCTGACCCCCCACCCCATAATCGCCCTCGCCGCCCTTCCTGCACCTGACACCCCGGCGCCGCCCGCCGCCCCGCGCTTTCGCAGGCGCTGCGCAGCTTCCCGGAGTCGTTCCAGCTGGCGTTCGACGGCGCCGCCCCCTCGCCGCCCCATGACTTCACGCCAGCAGTGCGCAGCTTCCGGGTGCTGGCGGAGCTGCCACTGACGAGTGGGTGGCCGCGGCTGGACACTAGGGGCGCTGTTTTCCCGGCTAGCCAGCTGCGGCGGCAGGCGACGGGGGGCGGCGGGGCCTGGAGGGGGCCGAACCCCGCTGCGTTAGGACCCCTAGGCATGGCACGGGGCGCGGGTTGCGACGGCGTGCGAGCTCAGGCCCGCGGCAACACCGGCAGCAGCAAGCAAAAACCTCCGCCTCCACCAAGCCGCTGCTTTCAGTGCTCACGCCGCCCCGCCTGCGTCCCCGCCCCCGTCCTCTCCGGCCAGTGCTGGGCCTGATGCAGGTGTACGGCCAGGCCGCCAAGCCGCCCATGATCGCGCTGCTGCCGCTCTTCTCGGCGGCCGCGTCCCAGCAGGGCCCGGAGCTAGGCGCGCTGCCCAAGGCGCCGCTGCGCGCGTCGGACGGAGGCGGGCGCGGGGCGGAGGTGAACATCAGCGGGAGCGGCGCGATGGCGGTGGGGGGCGCGCCGCGGCCGGAGTTTCTCGCGGCTTACAGCGACCTGAGGACGGCGCAGGTGGGCGGGCGGCTGCTGCATGTGTGCTTCGGCGGGCGTGTGGATTTATGTTTGTGCATGTCAGGAGGTCGCTGTCCTTTGCGACGCCGTCTTGCTGTCGGCCCATGGCGGCACGACGTGCAGCGGCAGTCTAAGCGCCTCTCTCGCGATCTGCATTTGCACCCGGTTTGACTCGCCGGCGCCCCGACCCTCGCACTCCAACACTCGCTATGCCCCGCGCCCCGTCGACCCGCGCCCTCCCGCGCCCAGCCC